GTATGGTGACATTTTATTTTTATTAAAGTGCCTTATTTGCAACACAGTTCCAAGTCAGCTGCAGTATCTGCTTTTTATGTAGATAAAGCTCTCCCTCAACCCCATCAGTGTATTGTAGCTAGTATACAGTTACATGTTTTTAATGAACCAATGAATGACTGGTAAACCACAGTAGTAGCTAAGAACCTAGATACTTAACTTATTTAAGCAAAAATGTAGATAATTGATATATTCATTCATTGCTGTGTTTCAAGGGATTATATATATCCAAAGACTCCAGAAACTTTTGCTGTTTTTGGAGAGGAGTTAAAAGTAGTCTAAGTTGTCTAATGAGTCAGTTACCAGTAGGATCAAATGGGACTCAATATTCCAGTCATCTTGCCTGAAGCAAGTCTACAAAATAGACTTGTCTTGTTAGAGAGGGAACCAGGGGGGGATCTTTGTAAAGTTGCTTCTTGTCAAAGGAATGGGTGGAAGTGGCTTGTTCTTCGCTGAAACCTAGGTCTAGAGTGTGGTTATCACACCACCTTTGAATCTAGACCCCCTGTTGACTTCCTCCTGTAGTGTCTGCATGCCAAAATCAATTACCAACTAGGACAGGAAAAAGAAGTCAATTCTTGTGATGCCTTCCTAGGTGTGACTCCTAAGAAGCTAATGCAAGCTTCTGGTCTGTAAAGTTGGATTATTAGTGCTAAGCCACTCAGCCAAGATACTTTGATAAGTAATTCAGGGCTTTAGAAACATGTAGGGTTGAAACCACACTTTTATGTGATTGCCATAACGATATTTGCCTCCTGCCTTAGCAGTTCTTTCAGGGGCATCAATACAGTAATAGATGTGGTTTGCTTTAGTCAGAGAGGGAGTGTTTTTAAAGAAGACTTTCCCACTCCTTTTCATCCCTGTTCCCCCATTTACACTAAAGAAAAAATTCTGCAGGGTTGTTTTTTTGTTTTTGTTTTTTTTTTTGAAAGTACAGATGGAATTAGAATTTCACTTATGAGAAATTTTTGCAAAATTACACTGACTGAAAGTGATTTTTGTTTGGCTTTCCTGTGAAGCCATCCAGAAAGGCCAAATATTACTGGTGTTGCTTTTGTGTAAAACTTTTCACATAGACTCCACTTATAATTCATCCAGATATATATAACTCAGGTCATCAGTGACACACATACTCACTCAGCAGAACTGGTCACTGAGCAAAAAGCCGTAGTGAACCATGCTAGGATAAGGTAGTCTGGAATCACCAAGCCACACAGATTCCAGCTAGAGAATATTTACATAAACAAGCTTGAGAACATGATTTTCAGGACTGATCCCTGCCCCCACCCTGCCTCAAGTGGGAAAGCCAATTGCTTACTGATTACGACAGCAACATCACTTGGCAAACATTTTGGCCTGAACTCAATGTGTGACATCAGGCTCCTTTAGGCTTTCTCACATAAAATGAATTCTCCAAAGCAAACACAAAAATTAAACCTTCATTTGAAATCCATTATTGTATCCTCTAAAGTCTCATTAATTACCTCAATAATATCTTACTTAATTTTTTCTGTGTAGATATTGACTGATACTTAAATGCTATTTTTTTTCAGACTTTTTAGTCAGATAGTCTTTTGTAGCTGTACTCACCCTTAAGTGGGGTTTATATCTTTTGTTTTACTGTAATGTGAGAGTCTGAAAGTTTTGGAGTGCCTTACATCACTTTGATTGAGGAAGTAAACAGTATTCTTTGTTCCTCTAAGAAAAGTTAATCTTGTTTTGTGAATGGGTGACTCTGTCATCACAATTTAATGGATTCAATGATGGCATGTTGCCTTTCCATGCCACTTGAAAATGAGACACCAATGTTTCGTTTTCTTTTGTATCATTCAGTGCTGCGTATGCTTACCTGAAATCACTGGAGTTTCTCCCCCAGGACTTGTCCCACTATTTTGTTAGGTGGTGTTCACTCAGAAATTTCATGTTCACGGCCTTAAAGTAGGCAGCTGTCAGTTGTGCTACAATGGGCTTGCAGCCTCTCTTGCAGTAGGCTGAAGCAAGTGTTGAGGGGAATATCCCAACGGTTCCAAGAGACAGGAATTATATGTATGTACAAACAAAATAAGGGAGAAAGTTTCTCTGTTGATGTGAGGTGGGAATAAGTTTGATATTCTCACACCTAAGTTGTTCCATCTGTAAACTTTTCTTTGGCTAATGTAAACAAGTGAATGCTCACTTACCTATTACACTGGCTAAGCAGGGAATGAACACTTTCATCTCTTTTTCTATTTCTTTACAATGCCTGTTCAGTATGTTTATCCTTTAAGGCTTGGTATCCTGCAAGACCAACACTAATCCACTGATGTCTTCTTCTACAGCCCATCTGTTACCTGTAGAAATGTCATCCTTAGCAGATTGATTCCAAGGAGTGCACTTGACTCTTTTTCTTTCCCTATAGCCTCTGTCCTATTTGCATTGGCCTTTCGTTCACATTTCTCTGTTATTCCTCTTTGCTTTCTGAAATGAAACAGCCATATCCATCTGCCTTCCAGTGTTACAGTGTTACTCTGGATGGCCTCCCCAGCCTCGCTCCAGAAGATGAGAACAACTGTGAACATGAGAACCATACCCCGTTAGCCCTTCACATTCTCAGCCTGAATCTCTGTCATCTTGCTGTCTTATGTGGTCAACCCCTGGAAAGGGACAGCCTTCACCTCTTGGTTCTCTGCCAGACAACTGTTTGACCATGGTCAGTGAATGTTCACAATAAGGAGAGATGAAAGAAAGTGTCTGTTAGTAGGTTAATGCCAAGACAGTATGGAGGCCAAATGAGGCCACTAGTGCCAAACCACAGGGGTTCAAAATAATATTTAATATAACATTGTCTCATTGAATAAGAAATCATATATTTGTAGTGTCTGAGTTTAATCTTCTCTTGGTGCCAGATTTCTTGAGCTTTTAAAATCTGTTCTTGCAGATATCTCAGAGTTCATGAGGTTCAAATTTGCTAGGATGTCTCTCACCTTTGGCCCTATCTGCTGTGTATAAAACAAACCTCCAGGGGGGTGGGTAGAATGGGTAAAGGGGACAGGGGCTCTCAGGTGATTGTTGCCCATGAAATTATCTGAAAATAAATGAGATTTCCCCATTAATGGGTACATTGATAGAACTTTAGTCTACTCACTAAGATACTTACAGGCAATTTATTGGCCCAGTTAGGTAGTGCAAGCCTTTAATTCAGGCACTAAGGAGGCTGGGGCAGGAGGATTGTCTCAAGCTCTAAGTTAGTCTGCACAACACAGTAAGACAGTGTCCCCAAAACAGTACAAAACAAAATAGAAATATTTGAATAAAGCAATTGATAGTGTTTTGAAAATGGGAGCTCACAGATGATTTTTCTGCATTATTCTGTGATTGTTAGACTTTAGTGTCAACAGTGAGACTTTCGCAAGTACACAGAGAAAGAAGTAAAGCAAGCACATATAGAAATTGACTTTGCAGACGTTGTTTTCCTCCGTGCAGTGTCAGTGGAGTGGTCTGATTGTCCTTTTATGTAGCGTGGATGCCCATACTGCTGATCCTGAATCAGAGGTGGACAAAATGGAACAAATAGCCTGCCCTGTGTGTGGTAATAGATTTGCCTAGCAGACGGCTCTGTAAGACTCATACTTCTCAAATACTGGTTCACACCTGGAACAACTTTTCTCATCTACTGTTCAAAGCGCGGTGCTGGCTTCTGCCCATGACTTAGTGAAATGGCTGTTTGAGTTCCTGTAATGTCTTGTATGTCTCAAAATCTAGGGCATTTCCTGTTCTTTCCTGCGTATTGTTTTGTTATTTGTTTTTGTTTTCGTTGTTGTTGGGTTTTTGTTGTTGTTTGCTTGGTTTTTGCTGCTTGAGTTTTTCCTTAGTTTCATGAGCTTTCTCTTCTGGTTCTTCCATCCTTCTGCTTTGTTTGTTTGTTCTCTTTTCGTCAGCTTTCTCTACTGGCTTCCCAGAAAACAGCTAAGCACTGATTCTAGGGTTCCACTGTCAACATTTTGTCTACTGATGGCACCTATGCACACAGCTTCAGCTGGTACCCATTACACATTCACCCCTGAGCCCATACTTTTGTAGACCTATATTTATGACCATAGGTAAAACTTATACATATTTTTCTACTGGATTTTGGAAAAAAACAATGTATTTCATATCTACATGTTTAACTCAGGATTCAACTCCATGTATTAACCCTTGTCTTCAACAGAAATCCCTCAAGCAAAAGCTGAGCACCATTTTCATATTTCATATCTTGGTGCATAACCTGAATGTCAGCAAAATCACTCCTATGGCCAGTGTACATCTCTTCAGTCTCAGCAGTCACTATGTGGACTCTCCATCATAAATATTTCCTGTTTACGCCCCTCATCTCCCTTATCTGGGTACTTGCCTCCAAAGCAGGCTTCCTGCCTCCGATCTACAGCTCTTCCCGTCTTCTTTTCTCCGTGTTGCTTTCATTGTTCTCTAAGAAAGCGTACCTGATGACCTCACTTTCCTTCTCACGGTTCTTTTATTGTCTCCATCCTGCAAACAGCGCATTGTCCGAGTGCTTATGGCTGGGTGCCTGCCTGTCTTTCCTTCTCTCATCCTGCACTCGCACCCTCTTCTGTAGCTGTGTAGAATGTTTGACTTCCCTCGGGACTCAAAATATTTCTTGCCACACCACTTGTTCTCATACATATTTCTCCCCTTACATTGAAAGTCATTTTGAATGTTTGCTCGTGAACAATTTCTCTTAGTCTCTGTGCAGCTCTCTCAGTGGCACTCCCTTGGAGGATTGGGAACCCAATATTTATATTTCCACAATTATTATTGTACTGTATTGATAATGCTTTTAGCTGTATGCTTCCCTCACCCTGGACCATGAGATCTTTGAGACCAAAGTATGTTCCATGGTAACCCTTGAGGCACTTCCAGCCCATAGTCACATTTGTAATACTTTGCAGAAGGGTCATTGTTTTATCCAGTGCAGCACTTACCTTTCACATTCCAGTTCCAATAAGTTTATGAATTCATCGCTCTTTTCCATGTATTCTTTGTGTTTTCTCTTTTCTTCCTCCATGTCCATTATGGTTTGCCTGTGGGATTTTTCCACCATTAAAAGTTGTTCCAAGATTCGTTTGTGTGATTCTTTATGCTTTTCTACGACTTTATCCAACTACAAAAAAAAAAGCATTATTGCCTGTTAATTACAAAATACTTCCATTAAATGCATGGTATAACTGATAAAATACTGATTTTTACTTTATTTTATCATTTAAGGTTGAAGAGTCAAGACTCATTGTGAATTTAATGCCAAGTACCATTTTGTGATATTTTAGGCACATCTTAAAAGGCAGACAATTAACTAAAACTCCAAACCACAAACTAACCAAGTCACTTAGGGAAAAGAAAGCAGAACTAAGAAGTTGTTTAGAACCTGATGAACTCCCTCTGACATCTAAATTCTCACATTGGCTGTTCAGATTTCTTACGTGGGTTTATGATAACAATTTGTCACCTTCTTAAAAGATTTGATTGTATCACTCTTGGTGACTTTTAATACAGTTGGCCAGTCATTTTGTGGACACTGAAACTGTTGTGTCCTGCCTGAAGAGGCATTGCAAACTAATATCTAGTTCCTGAACAGGTAGTGTTCATTTTCTTTTTCCAGAAGGTTTTAAGTCACTTATAGGCATGTGAAAATTTCATCTTAGTGTCATGGAGAAAGCAACAGAGATTTGAGATTTGAACTGTAAGTGTTTACACTTTAAGTAGGAACATGAGATAAATGCATGGAACATTTGGGAACAATGTAAGTGGTTGTTATCAGTAAATACTGTCCACTGGCTCTGTAGACTGAAGCTGAGAATAAAAACAGCAATACTTGTGTGAGCCCTTTCAGGGCCAGCAGAAGTAGTACTGTCAAAGCAGGATTTATTTCTTCCATAGATGATTTAAGTGCTGCTTTCAGAATTTAAGAGCCAAATAATGATAAGATTAACCTATTAAGAGTCAGTTGATGTAGGAAAACCCTGCAATTAAATTTTACCCTTGAATTAGACAAAATGAATAACTATAAGTATTTAATAAAGTAGAAATAAATATCTAAAAGAAGCTTGCTAAATGCAAAAGAATAATAAAAATAAATCTATCCTTAGGCAGATGCTTGTAATTGCCCAGATGTGGGTTTTAAATTTAGTCAGCCAGCAGACAATATAGGTTTAGATGAAAATGTCCTTAGATTGCACAATACCGTGTACAATGAATATATACTATACATTTTTCTTTTAAAAGAAAAATAATCACATAATAAATCATATAGTTTGTAGTGAAGTGAAATAAAAACTTTATTCATTCCAAAGATAGGATATGAATGCATAAAGTCTTGCTTTCTAGTGTGTTTGTTCTATCCTGTGTAATGATTATTGGTTTCTTCATCACCGACTTGAGAGGAAGGCTTGCAAGAGTTACTGCCATGCATTTGTTACATGGTCTCCTGACACTTAAGTGATCTCTCCTCCAGTTCTTCCCATTCTTTATGATTGATAGTACTATCTTTCCCCAGTAGAAATACTCAGTCTCTATTCCAGTAGTTATCATCCTGTGGGTTTGGACCGCTTTGAGGTCAAATAGCAGATGTTTACATTACAGCTCATAACAGTAGCAAAATTGTAGTAGTGAAGTAGCAACAAAAATAATTTTGTGCCTGGGGATCACTACAACATGAGGAACTGTATTAAAGGGTCACAGCATCACAAAAGTTGAAACCATTCCTCTAGTCAGAGTCAACTTACCTTCTGTCACATCAACCCTATTTTCATTCCATTCTCTATTTCTCCCACCCAACTTTAAGCCACAGTGGTTTCTTAAAACTCACAATGATACTAGATTATTTTAATGTTGAGACCTAGAAACCTTTTCCTCCTCTCCCCTAAACTTTTTGTGATCGCCACTCACTCATTTACAGAGATGTTTGCTTCTTCATATCAAAACCCAATTCCCTGAGATTTCCTTTTTCACCTTCCATCACTCTAGAAGGATGGTTTGAGTTTCCCATATGTTATTCAATACAGTCCCCCCAGACAGCATGCATTTGTAACATCAGTATTGGAAAAGCTGTGGTATAATGACCTCGTAGAGAAGATGCTCCCTGCAAGAGACTTGTTGATTCTGGAGATGCTTTAGCTTGTATTTGAAGTCTTAGTCCATGACTCAATTTACTGGTATGCCTCTTAGAAGACGTGCCAGTGGGGTTTTCACTTCAGTCTCTTCTCACTCCTGACAGATCACACATTAAACCTGACACTTCCTGAGTGCATGGGAGTTTGGCAAAATCACTTTCTATTTTATACTTCAGATTCTTCATTTGTAAAGTAAATTGATGAGATCAAATTTGGTGCCTTAATTTTTACAAGAGGACAGTATTTAAGTGCCTCTTCAATCATTTAAATGCCAAGTCCTTAAGCTTTAAGGAGGAAGACAACTACTAAATTGATACACCACCTAGAACCAATGTAAGACAACTGTCTCATTAAGTACTGAAGGATTATTACAAACTACCCCTTTCTTTGTTCTATCCTTCCTTGTAGATTTTAGCTGGGAAAGAAAACAATATTTGTTTGCCATTTCTGGGGACACCAGGGCAGAAAACTTAAGAAATAGCTTTCAGAAATTAATCAGCCTGACTCTTGCCCTTATCTAACCAAAATCCTTCTAATTAGGTTGGGGTTTTATTACCAAAACTTCTTTCCATGGTCAAAAAAAATGAAGTCTCTCTCTCTCTCTCTCTCTCTCTCTCTCTCTCTCTCTCTCTCTCTCTCTCTCTCTCTCTCTCTCTCTCTTTCTAATTAATGAATGTTTGGTTCTCCACATTCTCCATATTCTTTTCAGTTGACTCTTAGCACATTGTCTATTCTTTGTCTTTCTTTTGTTTACTCTGAATATACTAGTTATGGATAAAGCTAATCTAGACAGCAGGGAAAATGTTTGACCAGTTTAATAAACTGAAGATAAGGAAATATGCCCTTCATAAAAAATACAGCTTTTCCTTGTGTGGACTAACACCTGATTTTCCTTAATAACTCTGGAACCATTTTCTCATTGTCTCTGTACCACAGACCCTGGAACTGGGACATGACTCTCATGTCTCTAATTTCTACTGCCTGAGTCTTGTGAACGCTCTTCTTTGTTTCACCCTCACTCAGTCTTTGTCTTGTTTGCTTTGAGAATGTGTCTCCCTGTGTAGCCTACATTGACCTTAAACTCTTCATAGTCATGCTGGTCCATCTCCTGAGAACAAGGATTTTAAATCAGATCTATCCTCTCCTGCTTCGTACTCAACTCTGAGTGGTGATGCTCCTCTTCCTCTCATGTTTTCAGCTTCACTTCACTCCTCCAATGGTCTGCCTTTCTACCCTCAGTGTTCGTAGCATCCTGGGTAATGTTTCCAGTTTAAGGGGGCCTTCACCTGGCTCATTTCCTTAAGCATGGACAACAAAACTCCCTGTAAGTTACCTGCTTAAACCACATCTACTTTAATCGCAGACACATCTGTCCATTGTCTGCTAGTTGACTAAGATGAGTGCGTTGAGCAAGGATGCTGTTTCTTCTGCTGCTGTTCCTGCTTGGCTTTCCTGTTGTTTATACTTGCAACTTTTTCACCTCTCAAAACTTTATAAAAATGATCCCTCTTTCTTCCAGCTCTTTTCCACCTATGAATTTCTCCCCTTCTGTCTTCCATGCCACCTCTCTCCCTTCAGACTGTGCCTATGTACATAGTCACATGCACACATGCTCATATAAAGAAAAAATAGGACAGTTTGCTATAAAAATAATAAACTGTAGCATCGGCATTCCTTTCTTGCTTAAGCATCTCCTAAGAACTGTAAGAACCTTGGCAGTGTGTTCATTTACTCAGTAGTTTTGTGAAGTTTTCAAAAGTGTTTTAATTGTAATCAGTTAACACCCATTTCCCCCTCCAGCCATTGTCAAATAAAGTCAAAAGGTCACAGGTTTTATTTCAAACTGATCTTGTCTTTTAATTCCCAGTATTGGAAGTTTATGGGTTACAGAAAAAAAAAATGTATCAAGCAAAAACTCAGTCTGTGGATATTTCTCCCTTAGTTCCTATTTTCATGTTTATCTTTCTTTAGTACAGATCATCCATGCAATTAAGAATGATTTTACATTTCCCCTAGCATTTAGTATATAACATAATGATATAGTCTCATAATATATGCTTCATTATTGCTGGAGATGGAATGAGTGTGTTTCATCTGACTAATCCCTACTCATCCTTTGGATCTTGGTTTATTTTTGTTTTTGCACCCTATTCCCTTTTATACCACCTATGGTACTCCGTGCTATGCTTGCATGTGAGATCTATGTCATCTGACCTCTCTTAGATATTACACACCCTGGAGGAAGGAACCATGGCCATTTATACATTAGCTTTTCAGTAAAGTTAAATTTGTAAAAAGTTAACTTTTGAGTAAAGTTAAATTTATAAAATACATTAAAATTGTCTTAAGACTCTGGTACTAAAGTATCTTTGGTTTAAATGTTAAATTTTCTGTGGTGACTTTAAAAGGAACAAATAATACATTAGTCATTAACTCTAGTATCTTTACAAATCAACTTCTAATATAGAACTCCAAATTCAAAAGAAGCTTGAAGTTTTGAAAAATTTGGAAAGAGTTCTGCTCCTTCCTTCCCTCTTATTCACACTCTACCCCAAAACCAGTTCTATCTTTTCTTCTAACTCTCTTGCCCCTACCATTCTCCATTCCATATCACCATCCCTCCCATGTCACCTAGCAAAGATAAGTTGTTCTTCTAAGTTATTTTTCCCTCAGAGTTAGAGAAGCCCCTTCTAGATTATGGGACACATGGTTGAATTTTTTTTCTTTTTTAGATTTTTCAGTGAGAGCATTGAGGAAAATAAAAGCAAAAGGAGAATGTTAATAGTTCAAAATGGAGAGTCAGGAAAAAAAGTAGATTTTTTCCCATGCAGATTTCTTACTGTGTGACTAGGGCATAGACATCTGTAGTCTTAAGAGTTCCACTGCCCTCCCTCCCTTTACTTTCTGGGTGTCCAGTCTCACCTCTTACTTATTAGGTAGAGGAGAAGAGTAGACAAATGAGCTATATAAGTAGCTATTTGGGCTTCAGGGAACTGATAGCCAAGGACAGAGAAGTCTAGAATGATGAAGTAGAAAAAAGAAAAGAGAAAAATTGACAAAACATGGAGGTGGCAGTGTGTGGGAGGGTGTGTGTGTGTGTGTGTGTGTGTGTGTGTGTGTGTGTGTTTTGTGTGTGTGTGTGTGTTGGGGGTGGGTAGAGGGATATTTGTAGACATGGTAACCAAAGAATGTTGCATTTGGAAAACAAGAAGAGAGTAGGAACAACATTCTGGGACACCTTTCAGAGAGATATTGCCATTTGATGAGTTTTGTTCAGGGTGTTGTCACCAACCATAGATTTTCAATGCACATCATGTAGTTGGCATATTTGTCAAACCTAGCGGAAGCATTTTAGGAGCCAGGGTAGTTTTAACACTGTTGACTTGCATGCAGCCTTAGTTCCTTTTGTTTAAAATTTGGATTAAGGCATAAATCAACAGACTTTGGGTGGTCTCATCCTCATCACTTAGAGAAGTACATTCACATGACCAAACCACTTCAGAATTTGGCAAGGCGGTAGTCTTCTCTCATGAGATTCCCAAGACAAGAATAGCAGGAACATTAGAGGTCAATCCTGAGCTAGATTGCCAGAGCAATGGAGCGGGGTGGGGGTGTCTAAGATTTGCTTTCATTCTCTAAGCCTTAACTCAGATTCTTAGTTGTTTTCCTTTTATAAAAATTATGAAAGTTTCCACTTAGGTCTCCGAGGGAAATAGAGTAAGAAAGGATGCCAGGGTTTTAGAAATTTCAGCCCAGGAAAAGGAGCATGAAGTGCTTTACCTCTGGACAGTAGTGGCCATGTTTGGGCTGCTCACCCTTGGCACTCCAGGATGCTGTGGGTAGCAGAAAGGTCCTCGCTGTTAGTAGATGTTTGAAGAACAGAGGGTATGCCATCATCTGAAGCTCAGCTTCTTGGACAGTTTAGATCATTTCTTCTTAATGATCAAACTTTCTATGACGTAATACCTCAGTGTTTTAACCTCGATGATTAGACTCGATCTGCTTTTTATTATAGTCTGGATAGACTTCAAGCCCCCAAAAGAAAGACATATGCTGGCAGGATTCATGTGTATGTGTGCTCTTCCATTTTATGTTTCAGTCCCATAGCAAGAAACAAACAAACCAAGTGGAAGCATCTTGGCTATCATTCATCTTTCTACCCACACAGACCATATAATATTTATCTGGTTGCATACATTTGAAGAGCATTAGGAAATGAAATTGTGAACTGAAAGGGTGTGCATATCACAAACACTTGCCAGGCCCAGTCTCCTGGCTGGCAGGTGGGCTTCTGCCTTCAAAGTGCCTGCAGTTGCTGTGGTACCTACCTCATGCATTGGTTTCTCATAGATGTCCTCCTGCCAGGGGGCAGATTTTGCTTGAAAGGCATCTCTCTGGAGAGCTTCCAACACCTTTTTTGGAGTGACAAACCCATACTGAGCTTCCAGCAAAGCCAAGTCCATTTTCTCAGCCCTTAAAATGCCTATGACTTCATCTCGAGCCTGGAAGAACAAATAGTATTTCAGAAAGATTGTTTATCTATCCCAGGACTCAGCACAGCCTTTTGTGACAGCTGGTGGTATTTCGTATTCTCTTCCAAATATAAGTGAACCATATTTGGTTATAGTGCCCTTCGGAGAAGGTGTCCCTTCATCCTTCTTGCACGCCACTTAACACACATTAACAATATTTTACAAAATGATCACTGCCCTACATTGGGGGAATGTTTCTTTTGTTTCCAGCAGAGGATAAGACACCCCACAGAGGACTGTCTTTTGGGCTTTCACAGGTTAGTAAAATTCTCCTCATGTGTAGCAGCTGTTTTTAGGCTTTTAAATAAATAAAATGGTTAGTAATGCCGAGGAGCCAATTTACAAAATGCTTATTGTTATTTAAGCCAATCCGAAGTCTTTTGGCATGATTATTGAGATATGCCTGTGAGCTAAGGCTCCCAAGCCACATGAGTTGAGGATGTGACCTTTCACAGCACTCATGCCAACTGTATGTCACAATGGCAGCCTCTTTTAGATGTGATTAATTGTAACTGATTTTTGAGTTGGTAGAAGAGAAACCTGTGTAGTTAATGCTTTACTTTTGGGTATACACAAGTACGAATCACAGCTATTGATTTCTGTGGAGCAAGCACACCAAACTCATAAGTGGGTTTCCCCATAGATCATGGCAGGGCCGGCCCCACCCAGCTGACCTGCAATTCTCCCTCCAGAATGCTGAGAAGAAATAGTAAGTCATCTCTTGAGAGGTCTTCTGCTTGGTGGCCTTTGCCAGTATGTGACTTCTCTGATGGGGGATGTGGAAGGACCCCATCTGTCTCCCTAGAGGGGTCTTTTTCTTGCTCTCTGTGCTTCATGTCCTGGAGTATGGGGAATTTGCTATGTCTTGGGAATTGCATTGGGCCTGAGCCCTCGGTGTTGCTGCTTCTGGAACGCATTCTTCAAGGACTGGAAGAAGAGAACATAATTTGTAACTCTTAGTAGAAGTAGAGTTTTATAAGTACCTATTACTGCTCTAACCACTCTACACTCTTGTTATATTTAACTTGATCTTTCTAATATGTGCAACAGAGAAGGGTATTACCAGATTCATAAATCACCGTCTTATTTACACTTCTCCTTTTAAAGTCAACATTTTAAAAGCTTGTTCTGCCATGATTAAAGCCACTTATGTCCATGGGTAAACAGCCTGTGTTTGAACTTCATCCACCACACATTCCGCCATAAGAACCCAGGTCATACCTCCAACTGTGGCCAAGTGCTTACTTCCATGGAGGTATACTTAACATAATTGTGAAAGGATGAGCTTGCTAATGATTTTTCTTTAGTTTCACATTATTTCCTTTTGAAGTTGCTGGATTTTTTTTTTACATGTATGTTTTTGTCTTGTTAACTTTTTAGCTTTGGCACATTAAGATAGGAAGGTTAAATATCTGCTAGAAAATACTTTGGGTTTCTTTGTTATTAAGGCAGAGTTTAGTATTAAAAACATTCAAGTCATTCCTTGACTGTGTCCTGACAGTCTACCAAAATCCCAGCTGTATCACTGAGATAAGTCGCAGCTTCTATTGCACTCTCATCAGCAAAGTGCAGGCACCAGTGCAGAACAACTGGCTGGAAGTGAGCCACATAAACTCCATCACTGAAGATACAGCTATCCAAAGTAACCGACGGCGAGGAAAGCCATTTCACCTTTGAGGGTTCTTACAGTGGACTCCAGTAACTCACAAGTAGATATCTTTTGGGTTTTGTTTTGTTTAGGCAATATCTTCACTATATACAGACTCATCATGTAGACCAGACTGTCCTCAAACTTGTGGCAACCCTCTTGCCTCTGCCACCTGAATACCGGGATTACAGACATACACTACTAATCTAGCTAATTTTTTTTTTTCTCTCTCTCTCTGCTACTTATAGTTAATCACTAATGCTTACTTTCGGTACACAATAATATCATTTAAAATCTGAGAGGGGTATGCAAGCATACAGGTTAATTGCTGCCAAATCCTGCCTTGCATACTTGTCAAACTTTAGTAAGTAAATGTGAATATAAGAAAGAAATTTCTACAAATAGTGTATTATGGGAGCAGTTAAACTCCCTGCGTCTCACCTCTCCCCTGCCTCTGCAGAAGTGGCCGTCATCTTGAACTTGCTGTGTAACATTCCTATAAGTGTATTTTTATACTTAAAAAATGTGTTCATCCTGCTGAGCAATGATAGTATTTTTTGCATGTTTTTAAGCTGATGAAAGTAGCCTGTTGATAGGTTTCTGAAACTTACTTTTTTACCCTATATTTTTAAAATTCATCTTTGTTCCTTTTTCTGTAACATATATATGTAGTGTTTCATTGTGGGAATAATATACCATTCTTTTTCTTGATAGAATTTTAAAATAATTTACCCACCCCTGCCAAACAAACATACATTACTAGGAATATTATGCCACTCTGAATATTCTGCTAATATTTTTCCTAATTACCAGAGTGGTATTTTGAGCTGTGAAGTATATGAGTCTGAAGTATCACTTGAGGCAGTTGCTCCTCTGAATGGAACACTGTTAAGCACCTTTTGCATGCTACCACAAAACCCATGATAGCACACTGAAGTAGAGAATAGCCTTTTCATTATGTAATGAAAGAAGGAAGCACAGAGAACTTTCTAACAAGAAATGAAAGCACATGTAGTCACTGAACATGCAGACAACCTGTCTTTAAAAACAAAGTACTTGTCAAGCTGTAGAGAAAACCTAAATCCTAAGTGCAACATCAGTGAACTGTAGCAATAGTTGTCACTGGCTCTTCCATAAGTAGCCAGGGAGGGGTTCATTTATTTGAGAAAAACAAAAGCTCAAAAAGGTGTAGGGTGTGTGTGTGTGTGTGTGTGTGTGTGTGTGTGTGTGTGTGTGTGTGTGTAATAATTTACAAATATACAAGTAACTAATATAATTTTGTTACTTTGTTACTTGGATTGGCTCCAAATACCTAGACTCCAGCATTCCTTTGTCTCAGCCTCTGAAGTTATTGGGATTAAACCGTATCAGGTAAAAATTATGATGAGTCGTATATATGAGTATGGAAAATTCTACTACAGATATACTAATTTAATTGTAAATGGTGTTCGTGCATAATATTAACAACAGTAACATATTATTTGCCTTGTGAAAATGTATCTAAAAATAAAAAGGAGAAAGATAAATGTAAATTACATTTTTAATTGTTTTACCTCAGTCATTGTATTTTCTTGAACACCTCAAGGATACCCTTACTCTGCATACCGGATAATGGAAAAATAAAGTTATCACATAGATTAGATATCGTCAAACCAAGTAAATACTGATCTCTGGCTTACATTTGCTCATGAAGGACAAGGTCGTCTTGTACCTTTTGCGTAATGTTTTTATTTTACCTTATCTTTTAAAAAATGTATTTATTTTTATTTTGTGTGCATTGATGTTTTGCCTGCATATATGTCTTTGTGAGGATGCTAGATCTGCTGGAACTAGAGTTACAGACAGCTGTGAGCTGCCATGTGGGTGCTGGGAATTGAACTCGGGTCCTCTGGAAGAGCAGCCACTGCTTTTAACCACTGAACCACCTCATATTTTACCTTATCTTATAATGTATATTTTGAGGGAGTTGCTGAGGATAGTGCCAATTAATTTGCTCTACCACTAAGCTATACCCAAAAGTCCCTGATATGATTAGTCGAAGTTCTTGTCTCCTGGAATGTCCCTTGCATGATGCACCAGTTGGACTAAGTCTTCAACGGAGTGATTGTTTTGCTCCTTGTACTTCATTGCCTTCTGTCTCAGTTGTATATTATTGCTCTAAACTATTCTAAAATTGAGATAGTAGCCACAATGAATGAAAATTCTCTGTTCCACTCCATAGCTTCATCCATCTTGCATCTGCTTTGGGTATGATTGGCCTAAGATGCAATCTCTCACTTGCATTTAGCTATAGGCTATTTGGTTACCCAGAGAATCAGGCAGATTGCCTCATCTCTGGCCTCATCTTCTAGTAGGCCAGATCCCAATTCACCTTTGGTGGTCTCAGCGCAGCACTGCAACACTGTGGGAACTGAAGGGTGCTCAGGCTCTTGTTTTATGGGTAGACACACACCACAAGGCCAGCCCTAGTTGCGAGAGTGGGGAAACAGATTCCACTTAGATGGAAAGAGAGATTAGGTCTCCAGAAAGAATTGGAGTCATTGGGAAAAGTCCACACCTACGCAATTAAAAGAAAAATCTAATGTAAAAGTATCAATGTATTTAGATCTTTAGTTGTATTTTTTGAAGAATTTCTGTGATGTATTCTTATGTCCTTTGATTACATGCTGTTATAAGGACAGTTGCATACAAATAAGAATCACCTGCGTTATGAAAGTGGTTGAACCTTAGAACTATTCTTTGTTATGGGACATAAAATGTTGAACTATGTTCATGCTGCTTTACCAGGGAACTTGCTGGGCATTGCTCTCAAGCAGTGCCCTTTGGGCTGAGGCTGCCCATGGTACAGCGGAGGACAGAAGGGGCCTCTGTGTGTCCTGTATGGTTGCTTCTCTCCCCTCACTCGACGTGGCGGAACTGAAATCTGCCAGGGGAAAGCAGTGACAGTTTGTAAGTAGAAAAACAAACACACAAACAACTCCAAAATTTTAATAGCATGTTTGTTGTTCTGCTAAACATGATTATAGTTTTTTGTTTTTGTTTTTCTTTCGAGACTACCAGTTCTGTGTGGGCACTAAGGTGAGTAGCTGTTTTACTGCTGATTAATGAAGCAGTACTCACACTGACTGAGAACAGATCCAGAGTGTATAGGTGCCTGGTCTACTGAGTCTATGTGTCTCTGCATGTTTACAGTGGTGGAGTTTCCTTCCTCCATCTGCCAACAACCACAACGTGATCAGTAATGAGAAGTAATTACCGAGAGGGAGAAAACAAAGGCATGAATTTCATGATACTCATGCAATGTATTATCAGTGACTTCATTGTTTCTCTTGGCAATTTTTTAATACATCTGTGCATGACCCAGTGATACAAAGTGGGGTAAAGAAACATTTATTTGCAATGGTTGTTTAGGATTTTTTAGTGCCACTTCATGAGAGAGAGAGAGAGAGAGAGAGAGAGAGAGAGAGAGAGAGAGAGAGAGAGAGAGAGAGAGAGAGAGAGAGAGAGAGAGAGAGAGGAGGAGAGAGAATAACTGTTGTTCTTTTTTTAATAATAAAAGTTAAGTAATGGTGTCGTACTGTTTTGATGCTTTGATACAGCAGTAGTGGTCCACTACCTTAACTGTCTGTCATATGATTGCGCCCTTTGAGTGCATAGACTGGGAATCAGGAAACCTGACTTCCGCTTTCAGTTCTTCCTTTAATTAGGCAGCCCTGACCTGCTGCTTACGTGAGAATTTGGGGCTACATTGGCCCTGCAAGATCATCCAGGGTGAAACAAGGACCAGGGGTTCTTCCCATTGACCTCTACTCTGTTTCTTCTCCATAATTGATTCCCCTGACAGCAGGGCTGGGGCCTAAGACTGGATGAGCTCTGAAGTCTCGGGACTTCCCGCATTGAAGTTTTGTAATTCTCTGTTGCCTTGTATCTATGGATACAAATACCATGTGGTTGGCAGTGAAAAGGAGATTGTATTTTGTTTTCCTATGTAGTGACCTCGGTCTGTTTTTCTTTGGTTTAAGCTAGCTGAAATCATGGTGGATTTTGGTTAAGAATGTGTCAAAGCAAGGGAAGGATACAGAGAATTTGCAGTTGCTTTTCTTCTTTTAGTTACAGGAAACAGGCAAATGTATATAGAAACTTATTCTTTTTACCATCTCCTAATTTGTATACCCTAATCAAGTCCTTAACCATAAAGTTAGCTTTTTAAAGTCACTTTTAACTAATCTTGTATATCAAAATTGTTTATTCTACATAACTGGGTAGTTACTCAGAAATA